TTTTAACATGGAGAATTGGTCACCATTTATGTCAAACCAAACGCAACCCCTGGATCTAAGCAATGTACTATCTCCAAATATTCACGATGAAAAATATATGAATAATGCTGATAACAACTCAGAAGATTCGGTTTTACTAAACCCCAAAATTTTGGATCCAATATATTATCAAAATTTTGGGCTGAATTATATGATAGGCTACAACTTGTATTTAAAAAAGATGCGAGAAAATAATTACATAAACATGAGTAGAATCCCATTTTCTTTTAATCAATCGTCTTATTTCACCCTCCCTACAAAATCGGATGCATTGAATGGGATTGATCAGCAATTCAACGATATTAATAATTTTAGCACGCCACGTGATCCGTTAGTTACATTCAATCATCAAATTGATTCTAATAATTTGCCTTATTACCCAATTTTTCCGCATAACTTTGACACGCCGTATTTGGCCTGGCTTCACAGACAAACTTCTCAACCATTCAATCATATGTTCCCTATAAATGAAATAAATCAAATCAAATCCGAGAATGGAGTTGTAAACCTAAATAAATCTGCTGATAATATAATCCAAAATGGAAGTTTGGATCCGAAGAGTTCTCAAGAAATAGAAATAAACCTCAACCAATCTCTTTGTCCCATTAGAGTTTAGCTCTTATTTTATATTTTAGTTACATTTTTGTAACTTGTAACATTATTCTAGCCACGTGTAATATATTATAAATTGCCAATTAATAAAAGATCTTATCTTGATATTCAAATTTATAGACACTTGGTCGATTTTTAAAAAATGTTCTATTAAGATTATAACCAAAATATAATATGTAAGCCTGGAGACTTTGCTCAGTTAGAAAGGTATGAACATTTATTTGCCAAATCTTGAGGCTTGCAGAATATTATTTTTGGCTAAATAGGGGGGGGGGGGAGGCGGGTTAAAATAGACCCAAATCAGGCTTTTTAACAATACTACCTTATAAATTTTTGAGTTTGACCATTAATTTAGATTTATTATCATTTATCAATATCGTAGACTTCTTAGTGGGGAAGTGCTAATCACCACTAAAAAAGTTTAATTAATGTTAAATATAATCACATAACTCTAACCAGGTTAATTTTTTGCATGGCAATTGTTTCTTAAAATATATTAGTATCACATAATGATTAAATTTTACATTTTGCCCTATATACTAAGAACTTGTAAATAATATAGTGGACTTTAAAATAAAACTCAAATTATTTTATTAATTTTAAATAATTAAATGAATTTGATCGGAAAATTATCTTTCGATTATTAGCACTCAAGGTGTGTTTTTATTCGTTTCAAATTATTACCCGTGTTAATACAAATGAATGACCAAATTGAAAGAAATTTTGAGATACTGCTTTAAAATTAATTCTTTATTATATAAATAAGTTTTTTTAAATGGAATCATAGGTATTTAATCACCCACCAAATGTAATTAAAGCAAAGATAATCAATTAATAATCAAATAATTTATTGCTCCAGAAAACATATATTTTTTTAAAATTATTAAAGATGCCTTTAACAAATAAAAGCAAACATAATTTTATTATTATTACTTTAATTAAAAAGAGAATAAAAACATTTTCAATACCACAAAATTAAGTTGTATAGAATCAGGGATCCAAGCGTGAACCGAACCGTTAAACCGCTAAAAACCGGTATTTTTTATTGAACTTAAACTGAAACTAAACTGCTAAAAAAATTTTAGCCGAACCTGAACCGGTAAAATGCCTCTGAACCGGTTCGAGCCTCATGATTTTATGTGTAAGTTATTACTAGTTATTGCAAAAATTTTAAATATATTCGAATTGTTTCAAAGATTATTATCAATCACATTTGATTGATAAGTGTCAGTCATAATTTTTGTGAACTTTAGTATATTGCCATTTTACGGCATTTTTTAAATATTTTAAGCTTATAAATTATAATACCTAGAGATAACTAAATCCAATAAATAAATTATTTACACATAGTATTATAAATGACACATCAAATAATATTACTGATTGTTAAATAAATATGAAAGGCCATCATAAATCTTGAGCGTCACCTAAAAAGAAACCACCATCTAGAATTCGATAAAATTAACAAAGTATCACAACAAAAGCCTAATAGAATAAAAAGTTTATGATGTCATTAAGCCAACAGACGATAGAAGAAGCATTAAAAGAACAAACAATATCAGTAAAACTAAATAATAATTGATGCTGTACTGAGTTGGTCACTTTTGATGGCAGACTATTTAAATTAATCGAGGATAGCGGTTTTAAAAAAATTCTTGATCCTATATTAGAAGGCATGGGTAATATTAAAATTATTTCTCAAAATATTCAGTCTAATGTGCAAAATTAGCCTTAAGTATTCGGCAAAATATAATCAGAGATAAATAAGTTATTATCTCTAAAAATTGACTATGTTACTCGTCTAGACAGGTCCATTATTGGGATTAATCTTCAGTATATTCAAAAAGCAAAAATTATTTTGAGAACACTAGCAATTAAAGAAATTTTTGAACGGCCCAACTGCAGAAAATTTACAAATACTTTTAATAAAAGTTTTAAATGATTATGAAATCAAAACATCACAAATATACACTATACAACTAACTGACAATGGGGCAAATCTTATTAAGATAGTAAAATTATTTTTGGGGGTTAGTGATGAAGACAATCAAATGTTTGAAAATAATGAAAAAAAATACAAAATATAGATAATTTTAATGATGATTCCACTAGTTTCACAAATGTACCTGATGAATTAACAATCAATTATCAATATAATATTATAAATATAAGATGTGCATCTTATAACTTGAAGTAGATCATGCATTAAAAAATTGCTCAGTTTCTAATATTATTATTATTGCTCGCTCTGCATCTAATAAGCTAAGGAGACAAAATCGATATCAATCATACTAAAAAATTTTAACTTAAAAAGATCTATATTGGATTATCATAGATTGTTATCAACCTATGACATGCAAGAGAGATTGAATGAACTAAAAGATATGTGTGAGGAATTATCAGTATCATACATGAACTTTATTTTACAGCTTTATAATGGAAAAACCAATTAAAGTAGCTACCAAGAACTTACAACTTGGGCAGATAACTTTAAGGGATTTTTATGGCATGTCTAAAAGCTAAATTAGACATTTATATTTTACTTAACCCTTTGCTAGTTCAATAATAGATGCTATGAATTTTAGAGAGAAATAATTTAAAAAACAACAAAGCCTTTTGTCATGCCTATATATTTAAGCTATGTTTTAAAAATATATTATATCTTATATAAATTTAATTAATAATTTTATTTACCTTAATTCATAATTTTATTTTACTTTATATATTTTTCTATCTAATCATAAAAAATAATAAAATTGTTTTAATGATATTTTTATTATAGAGATATCAAGTGCTTCCGACTAAGAAGAAAAACCAAGTGTCTAGAGAGCATATTATTAAAATATGGCATAACATGGAATTAAACTAAGTTATAAGAGTGGAGGATTCTAGTGAAGGTGAATCAATGCCGGTTAATGTTTCTTAACTAAAGAGGATTTAGTAAAAAGTCTTCTTTAAAAAAAAGATGGTAACAAACAAAATCTGTTACAAAAATCGGAGAATATTGGAAATATTTTAGTTAATTTTTCTAAAGAACTTAGGTTAAATAAAACTATGAATATTTTAAACTATTGGAGAAATCAGAGTAATCGATGCCCAGAATTATGTAAATTGTTTCATACTGGCAGTGCCAGCTACCCAAATTAGTGTGGAAAGATGTTTTTCAACAATTAAATCTATACCATCTCTTCAGTGGCGTAGCTAGGAATTTTTTTTAGAGGGGGTCCATACATATAAAAGCTGGGGGCTTCGCCCCCAGACCCCTTTAACGGGCCTTCGGCCCTTTTGCTCGGCCTTCGGCCGGGTTTATCTTACAAATCAAATATCTTCGATAATATATAATAAATATATTTTTTAAATGCATCAATAATATGTTATTATAATTTAATAGATTATTCTCAATGACTTTATAATAATACTATCCAGAATAATTTCAATAGTAATATAATATCCTTCCACAAACATCAAAACCAGAAAAATATAATTGATATAAAATCACTTTTAAGTCTTTTGAACGTATAATCTAAAAAAATATTTTGCTCTGGGAGGGGTCCAAACCCGAAAACCACCCCCGTAGCTACGCCACTGCATCTCATTATAGATGTAATTTGGTGAGACGAATCTTGACAATATATTAATTGTGCGGCCTAATAAAATAATTTTAAGTAAATAGTTAAATATTGTTCACATATTAAAATTAATCATTGATATTTATTTGTATTACTTATAATTTAAATATTATCTTATAATGTGCAATTAATAAAATGAAGGTTTTATGTATGTGTTTTTTATTTTATGATGAAATAAAAAAAATACATCTTCCTATTCGAATGTAGATTTGAATACAAAAATGTTCTAACCGGTTTTTAGAGGTTCGAACCAAACCGATATTAATTTTTACGAACCGAACCTGAACCTTTACTTTTATCCGAACCTGAACCGATATTTGTTTCGGTTTGGATCCTATATAGAATATTGCTATTTCTTCTAGGCATCTTTTATCCAACTCATATTATCATATTATAATCATTAAATTAAAAATCCTTACAACTGTCAAAATTACTATTTTTATCCAAATTATGGCTAATATACATCATAGATAAATCATCTATCCATTTATAAGTCTAACTCAATCCTTTTTAAATATCAATTGGAGCGACGATAAAAAACATAAAAGTCCACGATAAGATTAGTGGGGGGAGGGTGGGGGGCTTGGAAAAAATTTCCCGACTTATTTAGTAATGATTTTAGAATAATTTTAAATTAATTTTAAAATAAAAAATAATAATAAAAGGGGTCTATACTATTTATGAATGTTTAATCTACATAATTCTATTCATGCATTAGTATATAAAAATATTTTTTAAAAAATTATAAATTTGATTTTAAAAATGGTCATCTAAAAAAAATTTACAAAGCTTTAAAAAAAATTTCGTTCTAAATATTTAATTCAATAGAAATAATACATTATAAATATATTGTTAATTTAGATATGTTCCGCTGTATATGCTTATTTCATCTTCATTTTTGTTAGGCCTATTCTTTTGAAAATTTTCTCCTAGATTTCTCTCAACTGTATCGGTTAGATGAGCGATTTGTCCATTCTTCAAATCAGTGAGAGTTTTATCTCTTCTATCGTTTAAATGATTTTTAAGTTTATGACTTTCGTCCGGATCTGCGAAATTGTTCGTCATCGTGCGGTTATTGTAATAAAATACCGTATCATATTCGTAGACAGTATTTTTACGTTCTTGAGCCAACTCGTTTATGACATTTTCGGTTAACGTAAACAGTTCAGAAAAATCGGGACGATCGTCGGAATTTTTAGACCAGCAGGATAGCATTATGCGATATCTTATGTTATTTGGAAAAAAAAATTATCTTGAGATTTACATGGGAATAATATAGTAATTAAAATATTTTAAAGTGATAATAAAATTTTCTAAAAAATGGAGAATGTTTTTAATTTGCATTATTTAAAAAATAATAAAGTCCAAGAAAAAATTAGATATAACTAAATTGACATGTACATTTAGACATTAGAGATTCCACCCCCACCCCCCCCCCCCCTCCGTGTAAAAAAATGGCTTGCATTTTTCTAAGTTTTGAAATAAATTGCGAAATTCTAAGCCAGTCGTAAAAATATTTCTAACTAAAAGGAAGGGAGGAATAAGCTTTTATGAAAAAAAATCTTCTCACAACGCATCCGGACAATACAAAGGTTGAATTAATCTCCTACCAGAAACCAAGTAATTTATTATATCCCAATTATCCACGTCTGGGTAAGGATTAACGCCTCTCGTCATCAATTCCCACAAAACAATTCCGAATGACCACTGTCATAATCATTATTTTTTAAAATATAATATATTTTCATTAGATTTTACCCCAAATTTGATTTAAAAAGCAACGAACTCTAGAATATTAGATAAGGGGCATATATAAAATTTAAAATATAATCTTTTAAAATTATTGAGATCTCGATATACGGAGATCAGTAATTTTATCATTGTTTTTGCTTAGACCTCGCTAAAATGAGTATTGAAATGTAGGATTATGCCCTGGTCTAATATTTAGAAAGTTATTATACAACTAAAATCCAACTCGACTAAAATTATAATGAGTTAAATAATATTTATTTAAATAAATTCAAAATTAACAAAAATTTTTTTTACCACATCGGTCTTGCAATTATAAACATTTTTTTGAAGGCTTTCTAAGGCCATCCATTTTATAGGTAACTTGATGTTTTTGTTAGAACTGGAATAATAATCTTTTTCGTAAATGTCTCGAGATAATCCAAAATCGGATACAATGGCGTGGTATTGGTCATCCAGCCTTTATGTGAAGTATTTTTTTCCCAAAAATATTATAAGCCGTAAATTGATATAAATTTAATTATTATTTTACCAATATAATAATTAATGATTTGTAACTGTATGGGAGTAGGAAAATTATTATTAGATGTATTCTATTTATTAAAGAACGCCGCCAACATCCCCCTTTCCCATTTCCAAATTCATATTAAAAACCATAATTAAAATTATTCACCTTTTTTTAAATATAATATACTAACATGCAATTTCTCGCCGCCAAATCCCTGTGTACAAATTTAAGACTGGCCAAATATTGCATAGCGCTAGCTATCTCTTTGCCCCAATCCAACAAATTTCCAAGAGTAGGTTGCACGTTAGGATTTCTAAGATGGGTAAGCAAATCGCCGTTAGGCATAAAGGGTAAAATAACTAAGGGGGTGTGAGTCGGAGACCAACTTATACCTATGAGAGACATAACGTGTGGGTGATTGAATTCTTTCATCCTAAGACCTTCATGCAGGAAGGCGCGGAGTGATTCTTGATTTAGGATAGTAGCTTTTTTTGAGGAAGGGTGGGAAATAAGGAAAAGTGTATATGTTTAATTAATATATGGTTGGCTAAAACTATACTCGATTAATTCTCTCTTCTTAATATACTTATTTTTCCCCTAAATAATATTTTTGTCTCAATAAAATCTTCGTTTTCTTTTTTTTCTTCAAAAATAAATTTTATCAATTACTATTAAGCGTTTTAACAGCCACCACGATTTCACCATAGCTTCTTTCCTGCGATTCTTTCCTAAGGTTTCCTTCAATTTCCTTATCTAAATGATTTACCTCCTTGTCGCAATATTTAGCCCTAAAAACTCTGCCAAAGTTGCCGCTTCCTATTAGTGGGCCCAGTATTATGCATTTAGAAGGTATCATGAAAGATTTATGATCCGACAGTAATTGTATCGTTTCTGAATCCAAAAGGTTTTCTCGCTCAAGCTGATGATTTTGAATAATGTCTCTATTATTTGAATCATTTGGAAATGCTAGAAGCATGGGGGATAACGGCCGATCATAATCTGCTCGCGTGATATACATAATTTTTAACAGTAAAATTAATTAATATTCTTCAAGAGTCCCCATATATTTCCATAATTAGGAATGGATTAGAGATTATTAGTGTTGTAAACGCGCGTCCGTGAACGAAGTTCATTTTTTTGAAAATAATGATGAACGGCGTTCCTTTTATTTTTGACGTACTTCGAACGTGCGCGTTTCTTTTTTTTCGACGAACGCGTTCAAATTTAACGTTGGTTCAATTTTAAAAATACTTTTTATTTTTATTTATTTGAAAAATTTAATATTAATCCGAATTTTTTAAGAAAAAAGTCTTATATTTTTTAATCAGTTGTTTTTTATTTTTCACATTTCAATTTTTTTTTGTGCTTGCCACAATTTTAATTTAGTGGCAAGTGTTGGTGCTGAAAAATCATTAGTAAATTTATCTTTTAAAAACATATTAAAAGGTGCATTTGATAAGTGCAAAAACTTATGGAATAAACAAAATCAATCTACAACATTTGCTGCTGATTTAAAGAATAATTCAAGGTTGCTTATAAGGTCTGTTGTTACAAGATGGAATTCTTAAAAATTGAAACTCATTAGAAAAAAAATTCTAATTTGTTTGACAAAGTGTGTGACATGGGTGGATTAGCCAGCAATGATAAAATTTTTTTGTAAGAATACTGTACCGTAAGTCCTAATAAAAATTTTTAGAAGAAATATTATAATAACCTATTGCAACTGCGCTGACTATTTTAGAAAGTGAAGAAAAAATGCATAAAATTAAAAAAAATTAGTGGCCTAAATATGGTCAACTATTGATCGCAGTATTAAATGGGATTAATAAAAGGTATTAAACCTATTACTATCAAATTAATTACATATATTTTATTTTTTTAAAGATTTGAACATATATATATGAAGACCAATATGTTCTTTCAGCAATTATACATCCAGTATTCAAGCTTCAATGGCCATGGATAAAACTTATACAGAACGAACCTATAAAAAACAAAATTATAGCGTTATTGAAAAAATTGAAAATCTTCGAAATGATAATGCAAGAACTGTTAATTTCGAGATATCTTCTTTTTTTGACGAGGAAGTAGAGGATGAATAGGAGGAGGATAACTTATCACAATTTTTTGAAGCAAAGGACAAAACAATAATTGTTTTTAATAAATTCCCCACGTTAAAAGAGTTGTTTATTAAGTATAATACCGCACAGTCCCCTCATCTGCCCCTGTAGAGCGCGTTTTAAGTATAGCTAATGCTGTATTAACTGCCAAGCGTACCCGTCTATCAGATAAAAATTTTAAAAATTAATAAGAAATTTTTTTTATAAATATATCTTTTTATTCGCTAATTATATATCATATTGTATTTATAATTATATCTTTTTATTCGCTAATTATATATCATATTGTATTTATAATTATATATTATCAAATTAAACTATATTATTTTTTAACATGATTAATATATTGTGTTAAAAAAATATGACATTTATTTATATTAAATTTGAACGTTCCTTTTTTTGAAAGTGAACATGAACGCGTTCGATTTTTGTCAATGAAAATTGAACATGTTAGATTTTTTAGAAATTTTTACAGCACTAGAGATTATCCTAAATATCGGTGACCTGCTGTAGAGATGATATTATAAAACTGGACACAACATGATTATTATTAATAAACGTACCTAATTTTAAGTCTTTTTCCAAAAATTTATAAAAAATTACGATTGATATTATTGGCCGGCGTTGATTGATAAGCGCTGTCAAAATTACGAGAATCACATCTCCCATTCGCTTCAGAGTACCGCATAGTCTCTAGGGCTTGATGCATTAAATACCGATTTTTCAATTCTAAATGGTATTGGTGGATATAATTATTATAATATTATAAACTATTCCAATGCAATTAACTTCAAATAAAATACTACTTGGCAGAAATTATTTTTAAAAGAATTTTGTTAGTAAAAATTTTTTAATATTATATAAATAAAATTTCTATGCGAAAGAATTAAATAAAATAATCATCATTTTTGTCCAATTTAGGCGTCTTTTGGTTTATATAAATGCATTATTAAATTTGTAAAAAATTGTTATGGTTTTTCTCTCTAAATTCTTTTTGTGTAGTTATTTAAACACTACTTAAAAAAATTAACTAGGCAAATAAAATAATGTTTAAATTCGAAATTGAAGTTAGGAACATATTTAACAAAAAAAGTTTTAACTCAAATCGAAGTCTCTTCAAATAAAATAAAAAAATTGAGATATAAAACTAGAAAATTTTCGGGTACATTCAAATGGTTTTCATAATCTGATTGGGCACTATTTTAAAATATATGTTGCGCAAGATTAATTTAAATATCAGCTACCAATAAAATTTTTTTTTAGTTTTACCCAATTAACTTGATCGAAGGTTTATATAATATATAAATATATATATACCAAAGTTTAAAATCAATGTTATAATTCACAAAGACTATAGATTTTATTTATAAAATTTAACTAACTCTTATTGCGTTTTTTCTTCCAGATAACTAAGATCAAGAAAATAGAGAAAAATATCAATATCGATAAAGCGGCCAGTGTGGCCCAAACGTAGTTAGATTTGATAGGTTGCGAGGAGTATGCCACGTAACCTAAGTGAAATATCAAAGGACCTGCTTTGACGACAACCTTGTATTTGGGTAGACCTTCTTTAGTAAATTCTTGATGAAATAATAAATCCTTGGGACTTCTTTTGTACACTTTATTTCCTTTGTTTAAATTAGGTATATAATTGAGAAATCTTTAATAAAATAAGCCTAGTTTGTTATTTATTTTAAAAGAAAAACAAAAATAGTATACACATACCAATCAGAAAAATTAATTAGTTCACTTAGTTGATATTATAGAAGCTTAAATATAAAAATATTGGAGAAAAAGAGCGATATTTTAAACAATTATAAGCTGCAAATAAAGTCATAATCGTTAATTTTTAAATTTTTTATTTTCGATAAAAAAAATAATATTTACCAATATTAATTGAACTGATAGTCGAACTAAAATACGTTTTACCGTACATCGAATCATTTTTGTATCGAGGATTGAGATTAGATAATTTATCGTGTTTAGCGGATAATTTAGTTATAGGCGTTTTTTCACTATCAGGCAGTCGCGGAGGAATGCACGATATGTAAGTGGATGTCAATTTAAGGATATTACATTCCTCTGGACCGACCATTATTTTTATATCCCTGATCGTGTGGATCAAATCTATGTGCACCCCCTGGATTGATTTATTATTTTATTTTAATATTAACTTTCTTTTTTCATATTTCAAGGTGTTATTAGCAACTATATTGTTTATGCTCAAAACCACTACCTTAAATACGGGAAAAATTTTAATAGCTGTGTTCTACAAATACACTTTGACAGGAAGTTACATAAAAATTAATAAATTAAGTAGCATGCTCTAAATTTCTCTAAGAATTAAGAATATCCAAATTAATTTGGAAAAAAAAGGATAGCATACACATCAAACATTGGTTTCCTTTTTTTCCAATTTTATCCCTTATTTATTTTAAGAGCATGGCAGAATAAATTATTAACCTTGATCTCGAGTTGCTGCTTATCCGGGTTCAGGTAAAGCGGATCCGAAGGCAACTCATGATATACCGGATCCACGTAGACGTAATAATCATCCATATAAATTTCTTTGCCAAATAAACTAATATTGATTTTTCCAGTTATCAATATAGTATTTTTGTCTTTTTTAATAGCTTCTGTCATTTTTTTATCGACCATTTTGATTCCCACGTTTTCGGCGAAAGTTTGCGAGACGGCGAAACTGCTAACATTTGGAGCCGAACATGAATATATATGCATCGGAATTCGATGGGAATTTTGGTCCGTTGATTGACAAGTAGACTCCAGATCTCGGTCCAATAATATGGGCATCTCAGTATTACGTAATGATCGATTAAATAAAGGGAAATCGAGTGAACTAAAAGGGAAGAATGATCGGAAAGAATCAATAGGAATAGTTATTGATAATTTGACGTGTTTGAAGAGTGATGAAGAAAGGGAAGGGTCTATCCCTTTGAATTTGAGCTTAATGAGAGAGCCTCCGCTAAATTGTAAAAAAAATATAGAGGGATTAAATAAATATATGGAAATCATAATTTTTTATGTGAGTTACAATTAAGAGGGCCTGGTGGGTGATTATACAAATATATATTTTCCATATAAAAAAGAAATGATTAAAAAGGGGTATGTAAAATAGTGATTTGAGTTAATAAAAAAGACGTTTCGATCAGCTAATTTGTCTAAATTCCTATTTGACATAATTTTTTGTCAATGGCAATTTTTATTTATTTGGAAAATATCAATTCATTTTATATAATTGAAAGTAAACATGAACATATGATGATTGATTTTGTATCATCACATTCAAATGTTTTTAATCATCTTTGTAAACATGTTATAAAATTTACATTAAGACCTTTTTTTTATAAACCATTTTATGTCAATAAAATGTTAACTTTTATATATATAAGTTAAATATTAACCTCATAATACTGCTCTTGGGTTCGACTGAAACAACAGTTGGATCAGGTTTGACCGAAAATTGAGGGTTTAATGTAATAGACATTCCGTCTATCATAAGAGTAACGTCTAATAAGAGGGCTCGAAGTTGAGTAGCTAATTGAATGATGCCTTTATTATGAACCATTGATGTATAAGGCAGGGATCGGCAGATGATTTGGTGGGAGCTGCGACTGATATTTCATATAATGTTTACAAAAATGCAATTTATGATATGCTACTATTCTGGCTCAATTTTTATATCCAAAAATTAAATAAATTATCACTTTTAATTATTAATAAACAAAAAAATTGAACGAATTTGATGGTACCTAAATTAACTAGAATGATAAAGCTCAAAAGATACTGGGCAAATATACCCTTGATAAAATACCCAGATTTATTTTTTTTCAAAAGTAGATTATATATGATTATATTCAAAAGTAGATTATATATGATTATATAAGAATGTTAATTTTACGTATGAAGTTTGATCAATTGCAATTAAAATTTATTTAAATATTAAAAATATACGTGGAAAATTATAAATTGTTTCATACAATTGTCATTGTACCAATATTTAGCTTAATAAATAAAATGTTAATATAATTCTGAAGACTGAATGACATATATTCGATATAAATTTCGGTATTTATATTGACCCATCAAATTTATATAATAAATCTTTTACGCCTCCTCTATCCAGTTTTTCTTACAAAAATATATCCCATAAAAAAAAATTCTAAAGCCATTTTCGTTATCTTATTGCCGATTTTTTGTTAATAAACATCTTTTCACTATATTAAATTTTATTTCATAAGATTAATAAAATTTCCATGTTAAAATTTTTAATCATTGCTCAATATAAATATTTGTTGAGATGTTTGAGATTAAATGATAATACATTTTTCCAAAAATGAAAAAAAACGTCAGTTCTAATGATACATATCTCCTAAAACAGAGTTGTTAAAGTAGCGCTCTACTTTTTTAGTAGCGCAACTAATATCAAACTATTTAAAAATAATAACGATAGCGTGCTCTATTTTTATAGAGTAGCCTAGTAGCGCGCTACTTTGCTTCTCCAAAATATTAAATATACTATAAAATAATATATAATTTATTTATAATTTATAAAGTTAATGTTATATTATTATAATTGAAATTTATATTTCAAAAAATGCTTTATAAATTTAATTTATAGTTATTTTTTAAAAAAAATTTCTAGTATTTTTAAAAAAATATGTTCTCTATTTTTTTAAAAAATTCTATTATATTTCAAAATTAAAAAAAAATTATAATAAGATAAATTTTGATTAAAAATATTTAAAGTATACCATATTTATGTTAAAAATAAATAAAACATTGTTTATATACAAAAAAACGAATTCAAAATTTAAAAAAATAAAGATGAAATATAGGATAAAATGAGAAGAATAAGAAAGGAAGAGTAAGTCTAGCTAAGTTCTGTGGAGAGAAACTGCCATTGAAGCTTATATAATTCGCTTTAAGAATAGCTATGGTCAGCCTCTACCCGAGGAAGAAGCCTCGAGGATCGCCAGTAAGGGTGCAGATATGAGATCCTAAATTCTCGAAGAAAGATAATGCCCAAAGGAAGTTAAGGTTGTGAATATTATTGGAATCTTCTGAAATTTCCAAATATTTGGAAATTGAAAGCTCTTCTTTTTGCTCGAGTACGTTTAGAGTTTAGTTGGTTAAGCTGATAGATCTTTATAATAGTCCCAAACGAGAATGGCCCCGTTTTCATGAGGTTAGGGTGATTTCGTCAGGCCACTTTCCAATTGATCTAAAAGTTCGGATTGTTCAAGCAATTATTTGGGAGAATTTTAAAGCTCGCTGGATCAAGAAATTGTATTGGTCATGACTGAGGATTAGGAGGCTTTTGCATTACTACAGTGTATAGAAAATTCCGTCAATAGAGATAGACATGGAGGATAATTTTGAGAAGATAACAACAAAGGTCCACTTAAAAAAGATAATTTGGAATTACCTTACCTCAAATTTGCAAAATGTTTTTAACTTAACAAAAAATTGATATAGGATTTAATATTAGATGCAATAGATAAGGACAATATATATCGCTCAATAAATCAAGCAGCTTTAACTTGAAAAAATATGTAAAGATATCATTCATAATTTTAATAAAATTATTATCTAATGATTTAAATGTAGATCAGATATATAAAAATTTTTTTTTATAAAGTTGCGTAAAAGGTAAAAAGAATAGCGGTAGCGATAGCGCGTTACTTTTTTGCAATGCCAAATGCGTTAACACTGTGAGGGTGTAAGCGGAGTTGGAAATGATAATTTTTTTTTCTTATTTAGTTATTTTTAAATAAAATTAATAAAATATATAAAAAAATATTTTGAACCTCATAAAATATAAAATAAATCACTTTAATATAGAACAATGCAAGTCCCGTCCTAAAGTAATTGTTGCATTAGATCCAATGTCTAAATTTTGCCCTTTTACTATCAATTCATTATATCCGGAAAATATGCCAAAGTTAGGAGAATAATCTTGAATTGAAATTACCTTTTTTAAAAAAAATTTAATATAAAGCGATTTGAATTTTATTCATAACATTAGCTTAGAAGGTTGAATATTTATAGCCGTAAGAAAATTGGATGTTTAAAATATTAATGGGGTCAATATTATCTATTTTTGTAGAATATTTCAATGGGGGCGGCGTGAGCCCTGCTGCCTCCATGAAGTCGACGCTATTGGTTCAACTTTATATTAATATTCTAAGTCCACTTCCAGTTACGTCGTTTTATAAAGCGGTTTGTCAGACATGTTTTGCAATTTTTTACTCGGGGTTGTCGCATCTCAGACGCCATTTAATTGTTAGTTGAAAATTAAAAAAAAAATTCTGGAAACGTGCCTAGGAAACCGCTTTGAAAAAAAAGGCTTGCCCGGAAGTGGCCTATGTTATATGTTATTTATATCTATCTAATTATTTGAAATGTCTTATCCTAAAATTAAAATAATTAGTAATAAACTTGCAACTATTTTCCCAGGATCTGCAGGCCTGGCCGTAAAATTAAGAATAAATAAACCCGGGTTTCAAAAAAAATTGAATCATAGAAATTAATCAGTCGAATAATCATATATTAGAGATTGTAATATTTATTTACTGCTCATAATTTTAATGTCCTCCCAAAATTTTTTTAAAAAAAAATACATCCAGAATTTTCCAAAATAACGAACATTTTAAAACCTCAGGACCAGGCCTACAAATTTTTAAATCTAAACTGTGACTAAAATTATGGCCTCTGCAGATTTCTGATTTTTTTTAAAATTTATCCCACCCCTCTCCGATATTAAACTTGTAAATATAAATTTTCAAATCTAAACTGTGACTAAAATTATGGCCTCTGCAGATTTCTGATTTTTTTAAAAATATATCCCACCCCTCTCCGATATTAACCTTGTAAATATAAGGAGGACTAGTATCTCTTCCCTCAATATTGAAATCGAAATGAAGTAAGGTTCGGTCAACAACGTGAATTCTCAAATTGGTCGACGTGGTTTGCATTACATGAGAATTATAGGGAGGAGTTTTCAAAATGATTCTTTATAAAAACATTTTTTTATTAGGGGGGAATTATGATTAATAAATTTAATTTAAAAAAAATTAATAATCTATTATGGACTAATATTACCTACAAAAATAAAAATTAAAGGAAACATTTGCATAGGTATTCGATTAGTAATCGAATCAAATAATTCGATTATTCGTATCTCTATGAACTGAACAATTCTTTATTCCTATTTATACGAATTTAATAATCCTTTATTTGTATTTATACAAATTGAATAATTCTTTATTCGTATACGTAAGAATAATAAAAATATTATTCGGTTATTCGTTGAATGTTCGATTCGATAATTAAATTCTTTACAATATTTTCAAAAATGAAATAATGGTTTATTAAAATTTAAAAAAGTGAATTAGAGATGTAGAGATAAAGTTTAAAAAATTTAAAAGGTTCCGAAAATTTCAAATATGTAAAGAATATTATCAAATATTTATAAATATTTACGAATAATTCGATCGAATAATAGACAAAATTTTTCTACGAATAATATTTTTATTTGTATTTGATTCGAAAATCCGTTTTAGGTGTCGTTGTATGTGTAAAAAATATTATTATTAATAAATAAAATATCCTACTCAAGGGAATATACAATATTTTTAAAAAATTTTACTTATTCATGCTGAGACTGATCACTTCGCATGGTATTCCTGCAATAGTGGCATTAATTTGAGAGCTCTTTATATTGCCAAAGTTTTCACCTTCTAAAGTAACCAGCGTAAAACCTTGCTCGGGTCCAGACAAAGGATATAACTTAAAAATAAGATGATTTAAACTTTTATAATAAAATACGAAATATATACATTTTATAAATCAATCTTCCAAACTATTATTTAAAAAATTATTTCTAAAAAATAAATAAAAAATTGCACACCTTTCAAATACATTCCGAACTCCTAATATTAAATCTGGAACGCTTTAAGCTAATATCATTAGTGAAGGCCAATGGTTCAGTGCGGATTAGGTTTATTCAAAATGAATACGAACTATTCGTATTCGATTTTTTTGAACGAATTAAAAAATTTACTATTCGCAATTATACCTAACGAGTGAAAATCGACCACAATAGACTGTTTTACATATTCGGTCTTTTGGATTAACAATTTTCATACAATAAATTTTATCACTTAGTTAAGTATAACTCAAAATGCCTTTTTATAATTTATATAATATTTATATTCACAAATATTATAACATAAAAAATTCAGTAAAAATAATTCACTTTGTCAATCCGAGGCGAGCAATGAGATTGAATCCAACTCCCTTTGCATTCATAAATCGTAGTACACTCATCATTCGAAGTAGGAAACAATCGACTATTTTTGCACCACCCGCAGTTTAAAGGGTCTTTAAGGGCTTTAAGCGATAAACATTCTCCGCAATTTTGGTATAAGGTACAAGAGTTAAGGGGATACATGAACAACTTTAAACAAGAAGCGTTAAAATTAATAAACCATATTATGCTACCTAAAAACACTTTTGAATACTAACAAGTTAGAGGAGGATTTTGCGCCAGATTAAACTTTACAATTTCCTAGAAATTCACAAATTTCTTACTAGGAAAATCTTAAAAATGAATGGACATCAATCAACAAAATTTTATACATAAATAAGCTTTTAAATTTAATAAATCAGATTCTAGTTTTTAAAATAAAATTGTAATTCCCTCCCAAACCAGAGATCCAGAGAAGGTAAAAAATTTAATTTAAACTATTTATTCCATAATATAATTTGAGTCATAAATTATTTATAATGCCTAATGATATTTTAAAAAATGTAGAATTCGATTAATATAATAATGTACGATTCATTGATTAAAAGCAATATAACAATGCTATAAATTTGTCCAGCCCGGCCCGAGAAAATTAAATTCACGCACTTCGTTTTTATAATCGAGTCATTTTAGGCATAAAATGTTAACTTATTCATTTATGGCGGGTCATGAAATGGAGATTAGTTGTAATTTTTATAATGAGATTATGTGAAAATATGCTATTTGAATTCAAGGACTCCTTATAATTAGAAATCAAAGTTTATGTGCAATCAAAAATAAAAAAGCAGATGATGAATGATGATATACTAAGTAATAAAATACCAACTACATCTTTAAGTTTATGTAATTCTTGGTTCTTAAGATTATAATAATAAAAATACATGTTAACCCGCTATTAATCTTTTCCATTGTCAACATTATAAAGTTTTGAAATAATAATACTTAACTATATATCTAAATATATAATAAAAATGATTAAAAAAACTACGGATGAAATAGATATTGAAATTTTTTCTTTTATTATAATGTTCAAATAAACATAAAAAATTGTTGGAGTAAGCCTTAAAAAAAACTTAATAAATTAGATTCTTTATTAAAATATAATTAACCAAAAATTGATTTGAATCAATGTTTTTCTTTAAAAAAAACCTCGATTTAAATCAAATTAATTTTTTTTTTCTATACCTTTCCTCTAAGTAGTAGTAGTATACAAAAACTATATTTCTTATTATTCTAATATCCTGCCTACAGAAAATATAGAAAGACATCAATGGCATAAAACAGTTTCTAAAATTAATAGAGAACATATTTAACAAAAATAAAATTTATATTCATTAAAGTTTTTATATATCAAAATAATTTTGCATTTATTAAAATATTTATGATATCTAAAACTAAAAATCTTGAAATATTCGCTAAATAAATATAAAATTTGATCGACTTACCTTATTAGAGCTCAGGAAATAGATAGTTTGATTGTCTTTCGAAAATACGTTGGAGGCCTTAATACTTTTATCAACGACAGGAGAAGATTTTGAGGTTCTACGATTTTGATATGATGAAGATTCATAAAGATCGACGGAGTTTAGTGTAAATGCGGTATCCGGAGTCAATAATACCTTTTTTTTAAAAAAAATTTAGACATAAACATTCCCTCATTTTTAAATCATTTACGAGGGGATAATTATGTCATAAACTTTCGAACAACTCTCTTTCATTATTCTGAAAAACATTTCCAGTAAAATTAGATTTTTTTTTTTAAATTTAAAAAAAAATGGCCCTAGTTGATGGTAGATGATTTTAAAATGAGATTCAAAGCTCTCACATATAAGATTTCCGAATAATCCCTTATACGTAAAAATGACGACATATTTTATACGATTCTTTTTTTACCTAACAATTTCTTATTGAAAAATTATGATTTCAGTTAAATAATAATTTTATCAACTCGGCACTTATTAAACTGTTCATACTTTAAAAGGTATGATTTAAATCGATTTTCAAAAAGATAAACACAATTTTTTTTATTTCAAATATAAACCTTTTTAATTAAACCGGTGTTAGTGCCTATAAATGCTATATTGAGGTTCGAGTTGGTATTCATTTTCTTATTGTTGAGAGAATAATACTTGTATTTATGGATAGCTAAGGAACTTATTATACCCTCAAAACGGTACGATGTTTGGGCAAATAGGTCTAAATGCGTGTGAATAGGAAAGTTTATAGCCGAACCGCAAAAGTTATCGGTTATATTTTTCTCCTTTTTCGAAAAAAAAGAATACAATAAAATATTAAGGATTATATTAATTTAATTTATACAATCGCAAATCAATATATTAATTTTTTTAAAAAGAATTTTTGATCTAAATGAATGATTTTTAATACCTATAAAATCAAGATTTACTTATAAAAGATTTTGGCATTTTTAGGCAAAATTAGATCAAAAATTTCTATTCTTCAAAAATATAAATATTTTAAGAATTTTTTCAAACTTTGGAATTATATTATAAAGGTGAATAATTTTTAAAAGGACTAGGAAATGATTAGAAATTTTATGCAACAATTGAATTTGAAAAGTGATCAAATCTATTTTACCACTGTTTATTATATTTAATGAAAAAGGTTCAAGAATAATTAATAAAATTTTAGAGAGCTGACCAATAATTCGGTCAAATCTATTCGTCTTCGATATAAAACGAAATATTTTATGCATGACAATAGAAAGGTATCCCTGTGGCCAAAAATCTTAACTGAAACGAGAGGGGGGGGGGGTCCTCAATATTTAATTATAACTTAATTTTAATTGTATATTACATAAATGGCATTTTTAAATTTTCTTGCTTTTTTTGAATTTATATATATTAAAAATTTTTTAAATACGTGCCATTAATTACTAAAATAATTGCAAAATCTAATGTACGAATATATAAATAAAATAGGTAAACTTCTTTGATACAACCTTCCTCGACACCAACTATCCAGGGGATGTGTTGACCCAGACCTTCGAAACATCTCTTGATGGCTTCAGTAAAACTGCTAACAATCTCCTGAATAGGATAAACGCACAGAGCCGTGCCCAGGGAGGGATTGGGAGAGTCGGAATAAAAATTAGGATAATTGCTACTCATGGCTATGTAGAGAGCCCAATCAGTGTCGGGATTCGTGTTATAGGTAGAGTTTTCGTGGAGGTTTTGAAAGTGATACAATGTGTGGGGGACTGAGAATATGTTTGTATAAAAAATATAAGGAAATCCAAAATCAATGGTTAAATTATATTAAAGTATAATTTATAAGAATGTCAAAGTGCTAAAACTTCGTCTCATCAAAGATTTATGAAATAACAATTTCCTTACATTCTTTGCCGTTTTCAGTTCGATTTGTACCGTTACTATTTTTATCTTGAGTTACTTTAACGAAAGAATTTGGCGGGAGATAAAAATTTCTTATATTTTTTTTAGGCTTCCTTCCTAATAATTCCCTTTAATTTTTTTTTAGAATTGATACCAAACTTTTATTATTTTATGTTTTATTTTTTTTTAATATTGTCCCAACTAGAGTCCTGCAAAATTATTTTTCCCTGGCCTACGCCGTTTGATAAATGAATTATCATCCATGCTCCGGTCCATTTATAGAATATCAATCGAATATTTCGCAAAATTAAGTGATCTAAAAGTCTAAATTTTACCAAGTGCTAAGTACAATACTCGGTTAACCATTTAAGGAAGGTATTGTAATTTATTTTGATCATCTCCCTAATGTTTTATATAGCCTTATTGGCTTCCTGTAGAATATCAGCGCCCCATTTCCCTAATTTGTTATCACCTTATCGCATGAGCGAATTTCAGGGTCACAATCCCTTTCATCCTACTCTAAGAGGTCTCCACAAAAGGAAATATATTTTTCAGACATGCCTTGTGATATTCGGTTTTGCTTAGAAGCAGCAATAAATATAGAATATAATTTTTTTTACAAATTTTGATGTCCACAAGCTGGGTTGATCTCGTATATAAAATTTACGTCATCGTATGACCTGATTTATTTACCTACTCACATTTCCAAGTCGTTACTAGTTTGGGCGATATGAGCCACATCACAGTGTATATTAATAACGTATAGCGTTTTCATAAACCCTGGATTAAATATAAAATCGTAGCATGTTACAAGGTATTTTGTAAACGTTTTTGGTCAATGAACTGATGATAAAATTTGGAGATGAAGAACGTCCATTTCTTCAAATGAGGTTATAAGGAAGGAAAAATCATCTGAAGTTACGGCATGTCAACATGATAAAAATTATATGTTATGACAATTACAAAATATACACATTCATTCAGAGGCGTAACCAAAGTTTAGGAAATTGGAAAATTTCCCCTGTTCTAGTAAATAAAGAAAAATAAATAAAGGTTAATAATAAAATAACGCCTATTTATACTAAAAAGTGGAAAATCAAAATTGTTTTTATAAAAATATAACCTTACCAAAAGGATATAATAAGTGGGGCTAAAGACCTCCAATGAAATTTATGGTCGAAAACCTCAACTAATAATACCCCCCCCCCTATAGGAAAATACAGGATGATGCTACCATTCTATTATGAATTTTATAAGATAATTGCATTGAAGACTAGGAACAGCTGCAAGTCTATAATACCCATTTTTTTTTAAAACAGGCTATTCATAAAATATTAATTGATGCTGCTAGTGGTGTGGTGTGCAATGTTGACAAATTTCAGCTAAAAAATCGGGCCCAATATTGTTATAATGACGTCGCGGTCAGATCATTTAACAAGGATGGGTAAATATATATCCATGGTTGAAATTTAGGATGGAACACAATTTCCAACGAAATAGTGTCAGATATGTCTATCGCTTCCTCTTACAGAGCAGTTGCTTTGCTATATAGTCCTGCATGCTATGATATATAGGGTCTATGATATGAAAACATCATGTTGTACATGGAAACATCTAGGAACGGTCGTATAATCTTTAAATAAGGGGATTTTGCCAGAGGGGGGAGAACTATTAGATGAATTTCCCCTATTGGTGATCTTTAGATCCACTTATAGCGCAGGCCTTTGGCTATTTTAGATCGTAAAAATAATTTTGGGTCTTCATTTTTTTTTACATAAAAATGCTTTTTCTAAAAATTTTGAATTATAGTCGTTATTTTAAAAGTTATTAACCTTTACAAGTTCTTTCTTCAAATTCTTCTTTATAGTAATATATTGATCCTTGGGGAGGAGGACGGGGATTTTTTATTAATATGATATTTACGAGAACAGACAAATTTCCAAAAGGGGAATCCCCCCACCTTGTGATGTCTATGAACCCAATGTAGACCTACAGTATCTAGTATTTCGTCGGAGAGCGATTTCAATAATATAAAAATCGAATTATTACTAATAAACATCTCTCCCTAAGATTGGATGAATTTGTACATCATCATTCATATCACATCTCATAGAATGGTGGGTCATAATTTAATTACTCAATGACTGAACGATATTCATTTATAGATTTTATATTTGCATTGCACATCATATAATATTATTCCTATCTGAGGTAAATTTTTTAGATATACAATTATTTAATCTAAATATTAATATAATATTATTACTTGATTTAAATAATAATATTAAAATATCAATTTAAATTTTTTTTTGATTATTAATTTACCAAACATGGCGGTTTGAGCTAAATTGTATTCGAGCTGGTCATTGCCGTAAAAGCAAGTCAAAGGTATTTCGGTGTAGGAATAAAAGCTCAAATCGTTTTGACATACACGGACTAACCGAGTTTGAAATGATTTGCCTGGGGAACCGCTATTATCACTTTTATTCTTCGTTTATAATAAATATAAGTTATAGTTCTTTTTCCTTCCTTCCTTCCTTCCTTCCTTCCTTCCTTCCTTCCTTCCTTCCTGTACAGTAAGAGCTTCAACCAAAAGCAATTATTTTTTTTAAATATCCAAAAAAAAATTAAAAGGAAAATAAAAGGTTATTGTTAAAACCAAAAAACAAACAAACGATTATTTTCGATTTTTTGGCCCTGGTAAGTAAGGATATTAAATTTCAACTCGAATTTAGAACCTGGACTAAAAAAAGGTTCTGGTTCATATTTTTAAAAAAGTTCTTCTGTTAATGGTTTCAAAAATATAGAATTTTGGGAAATTATCATATGCAGAGATGCGCCGATACAACTTTTTTACCGTTACCGATTATACTTATTTAAAAAATCGAAATGAATAAAAAAAACAACAATATTTCGATTTATTTTATTAGTATTTTATTTAATTATAAATACTATTAAAATAATAGTTATTGTGTCGTATCTAAAGACCTTCATATGCTGTTCAAATCCCGACCCGAACCCAACTCCATTGAAGACATTTTTATCGGACTCAGGAAGACTGAGGCCCGAAAATTACAAAAATCCTCAATAATCGTTTTATTGAAATGCCAATCAGAATCACATGTCATTTTTTATTTAACACATTTCACTCAGTAGAGTCATTGAGGGGGGGGGGGGGTCGAGCCTCCTGAAAAATTTGAAGAACTCTCTCAAAATTTTGAATTTTTTTTTATACCAAATGAAATTTTATAATGTTAGCTAAAAAAAAGAAGATAATTGATAATGTTAGCTTAAAAAAAGAAGGTAATTTTGAAAATAATTTTCAAAAGTTTTATGAAGGTTTTAGCCCGCCCGCCTAAGCCTGCTCATTCTCCAACAAGCGTGGGCGGGTTTTCTAAAATATATCAAACATTTGTCAAGTGGCGGGAGAGCCAAAAAAATATTTTTTAAAACAATGGGTGTGTGAATATTAAATATTTTCGGGAGAAATAAAGATCATTTTTTCTATTTCATAAAATTACATATTTATAAGTTTAATTTAAAATACATTAAAATAAATAAAGAGCCAAAACAGCCATTAAAATAATTTGAACATTGGGCAGGATGACGGGAAGCAAAATTTTAGATAAATGTGCGGTAGGGCGGGTCAATTAAAAAATACCAAGAGCGAGCGGGCAGGTTAAAACAAATTTAAAACAACGAGTGGGCGGATTCGTTGGTTAAAACCCGCCTACTAAACTGTGAATTTCAAATAATTTTGCCCTTAGAACTACTCTTAATTTATAAATTATATGGATTTTTCTTGATTATTAGAAGATAAAATAATAAAAGGATTGTGACGAAAATTGTCTTAAATTCACATGAAAGAAAGAAAGAAAGAAAGAAAGAAAGAAAGAAAGAAGCTGAATTTTGAGGAAAGCATAAATAAAGGAACTCATACACCTAGCTTAGCAGATTTTAATAAACGCCTGTAGATTGGGTTGATTACCTATTCTTTGTCATTCCCCACCCATAAGCAAAGGTGGTTATTTTAAAAAAATCTCCCATAATGCAATGTTGTCATGACACTAAATATGGGTGGGGTGGCATTAAGAGGCCCATATTTTTTATTTTTATCCCCCCCCCCCCCTTCCAACAAAACTATTGATTTAAAATGTGTTTTAATAAGGTTATGTCTAAAATCAAAAAAATGATAAAATTTGAATACAAATGAAAGAATTGAGTATTTTTTATCAAAATATAAAAACATGCCCAAACATTTTCCTACAATTTTGAAAAATTATAAAAGTATATAGGCATCAATGTGTTATTTTTTCAACTTTATGTCCCAAATTTTGGCAATTTTTTTAAAGAATTAGATTACTACAACAATTGGTTTATCTAAATTTAATATCATGATATATTATATCTTAAATATTCCTTTATATATATTAAAATAGTATGATTGGTCTTAAGTGAGAATTGGTATAGAAGTATAATTAACCTAATTGAACCTCCCCCCCATTCTATTTAGGTGAAAATTTCCAAAATTACAATAAATTTATATTTCAACAATAAATAAAATTGGCAATCATTATAATATACTTGTAAAGTTAAAAAATAGCTAAATCCTTTGAAACTAAATCCATAAATATATTTAGTATGAAGATATTGTTCAAAATGTGGAGCAACATTGATTCCAGTGAATGAAAATCCATCATTGTAGGTGTATATAAAGTTCAAATCAAAATTTTCATTATTAAATTTGTTTTTGAATTTTTTTAAATTAGAATTATTTGGTGAAAAATTCAATATTTTAATTTCATGACCATTGCTATTTATAATTTCATTTCTGCTGGATAGTGATGATACCATATTATGATTATCTTCTTTTGTATATCCAACATACAATACCATATTAGCTTCTTTCTTATATAATGGACCAGGGGCAAAATAAGCAAATGAGCTGATATTAGATGTAAATATATTTTCAGGATGGCGAGAATTTAGGATTTTAAAATCAATTATATTTTCTAAATTATGAATAGTGCATCTATTACCTAAATCATTTAAAAAATATTTTGTTCCACATACAAGTAAATAACCACCTACATTTGGTGAAATCACCATAAAATTTATCTTGTTTTGATCTTTTTCAATCATATGCATTTCATTATGAGAAATAAATTGTGTATGAGTGTAATAAAAAGAATTTTGTTGGAAATTATTGATAATATTGGAATAATTAAATATATTTATTAGTTTGGAAGCATCTGACATCAAATCATATTTAGATGATCTTATATGATATATAAGCCCATGCCCTCCTCCACCAACATAAATATCCCCATTTTGAGCAATTACAACTTTGTATAAATTTGCATTTAAAGTTATATTTGTAATATATGCAGGCAAGGCATTAAATTTTAATATATATATTAAAATTTTTATAGACAAATATGTATTAATGATAAGAATTTGTCTACTATACATAAACTATAAATAATATCATATGTAATTCCTTGGTTTAGTATCAAACCTCAAAATTAAAATAAATCAAAACAAGGTAAAATTAAAAAAATTTAAAGGTGTGTTTAATTTCGTATTAATCCACGACAAAAAATGTTATGTCCTTTAACATTTTATTAACATTAAATTTTTTACTTTTAGATAATAATAATTAGAGCTTGTTAGTGGTAAACCAATTGTTAAATAAACACTTAATGTATTTTGAGAAGTTTGATATATAGCCTAGAGCGATAATAAACATTTTTTTAAATTAGTTAAATACGATTTATTTTTAATTTATATGAATGGTAAAAAAAAACTTTTTAATTTCTGTTCTCGCCTCATTTCTTATAAATTCCAATATGGTAGAATTATCAACCAACAGTTTGATCTGTACCATGGTCTAGCCCTCAGTTCCATCTTCGTGATTTCTACGTTAAGCCCTCTAGTGTTAACAAGCAACCGAGTCAAGCGGTTTTTCTTAGATCCATCAAACTGGATATTTAATACAGGAGAAAAAAAGAAGAGCCTTTCATACCTTTGTGGACAACCCTCACGTACGCGAAATAGTCCTAAGACTATTGCTTAAACCCAATGACATTAATTAAACCTCTATAGACTATAATAAAAAGAATTGGGCAAAACTAAACTCTATACCCGAGAATTGTGCTTATTAATTACTTTATGAAGCAATTTTTAATGTATTGATGTTAGTATTTTGAATAAATTGAAAGTCATGTTGTCCTGTCCTGTTGACCATCTAAAACATATATTAAATATAATGAATAAATTTTTAATCTTGCTATTCCATCATCTGCATTTTTTATTAATAGCTGGTGGTGTAGGAAAAGTTGGTTTTTTTATTTTAATAGTGTGAATTGATTGGTATGTTTTCACGCAAGGATTCCAAATTAAATTAATTATAATCTAGTTTATATTTTGCTAACATTTCTTAGAAAGAACTAACATAACTGTTTAGTGGTGAGAAACGTTCTCTTTTGTATGAATATTCTAAAGATTTAAATAATCATATCCATTGCATTTGGTTTTATCATAAATGAATAAAATTTAATATATATTATTAAATTCTAGATACCTTCAAACAAAATTGTTTTCACTTGACAATTGATCGAATTCATTATCCATTTGAACTAAACACCCAAAAAGTTTTTTCCCTTTTTCATATCAAGCATTTTACAAAACTTGATTCAATAAATTGTTAAAAACTCCGGTTCGTCTTTAAAATACTAGTGATATTTCAGTCCGTCTTTTTCATATGCCCTTGATCCATCCACATAAAAAATTATTTTATTTTATACATCTATTGTAGTAATGTGGAAAGTATACATCAATGATATATATATAACTATATCATTGGTATATGTTTATGTATATAGTTATTATAGCTATTATGGAAGTATGAATATATCATATTATATTATTTGTATATTATAAATTAGTATATTCATTAATTATATATTTTTTATAATGTTATATATATTTGTGAATATTACAATATTGGGTGAAGGTTAACTATCTAACACCCATAGCATCTATTATAATATGATAACCGGATCCATATATTGTCATAGTTATTATAGATATTATGGAAATATATGTATGAATATATCATATTATATTATTTGTATATTATAAATTAGTATATTCATTAATTAGATATTTTTTATAATGTTATATATATTTGTGAATAATATAATATTGGGTGAAGGTTAACTATCTAACACCCATAACATCTATTATAATATGATAACCGGATCCATATATTGTCATGGTTTATAAATAAATGTTGTATAAATAATCCCAAATATTTTATTGACACAGTTATGGATGCAAATGTAAGTATGAATTTAGTAATTTATTAAATAGGTACGCCGAGATAAAGAACCTTGAATGATTGGAAAATGTCATGGTAAATATAAACTATTTTGTAAATGTGTAATTTGTTTGTGCA